TTCTCTCTGAAAGAACCCATGTTCACCCCAAATCTCAAATAATTCCTAAAGATAAAAGTTCCACGAGTGAGCCCAGGAGTTCAATACCATCTTAGGCAACACAGTGAGACCTGAGTCTACAAAATTTTAAAATACATTAGCCAGGCATGGTGGCACATGCCTGTAGTCCCAGCTCCTCAGGAGAATCACCTGAGCCTGGGAGGCTGAGGTTGCAGTAAGCCATGACTGCACCACTGCACTCCAACCCCGGGCGACAGAGTGAGACCCTGCCTCTAACAACAACAGCAACAAGAAGTTCCAAGAAATTAAGCTCAGTCAAAATCACAACACACACAAAGAAACAAGGCATCATGAGCAAAAGCTTACAGAAACAACAAAAAGCAGAATGAGTCACAGAAAGACTCTGCATACTAGAATGATCACATGGAGATAAATAACAGAAATATCTCTTGTATGTTTAAAGAAATAAAAGAACATGTGCAGGTATTGATCGACTTACGACCTATGCAACTTACAGCCATTCGACTTTACGACCACAATCGCGAGCCACGACTGCTCCGCGTCTGGCAGCGCAAACGTTGCCCAGCTGGGCGTACGATAGTGCGGACCAGCTTCCGGCAGCACTACCATCTCTGCGTGCACCATTTCAACTGTACACATAGTCTACTCAACTTACGACCAAATCGTGTTACGACCGGTCTGCCGGTCCCAATCGTGGTCGTAAGTCGAGCACTAGCTGTATACATAAGAAAAAAGCAAGAGAATTTAAAAATGGCCGAATAAAATTAGAATTGCCAAGGTTAACTTATAGAATGAAAAATACAATTTAATAATTCAATGGAAAGATTTTAATCTCAGAATTTATAGCTGCTAAAGAGAACACAACAATTGAAGAACATATCTGAAGATCATCAGCATGCCACACAGAGAGAAAGAGATTGTGAAACGTGGAGGCTAGAATCAGAGAGTCTAACAAATATCTAACTGAAGCAAATATTTGAAGAGATAATGGCATAAAATTTTTAGGACTAGTGGAAAAAGCCAAGCCACAAGTTCCAAAACTACCAAGTGGGATAAATGAAAAGGAAGTCACACATAGATTCATCACAGAGAAACTACAGAACGCCAAATATAAAGAGAAAATCTTAGAAGCTGCCCAAGAGGAAAGACAGATTATCTTCAAGAGAGTGGCGGAGTACAGTTAACTGACTTCTTAGCAGCAATGATCGAAGTCTGAAGTCAGTATGCTGAGGGAAAACTATCAATCTAGAAAAACTATGTTTTGAGGCCAGGCACAGTGGCTCATACCTTTGGGAGGCTGAGGCAGGTGGATCACCTGAGGTCAGAAGTTCAAGACCAGCCTGGCCAACATGGTGAAACCCCATCTCTACTAAAAATACAAAAATTAGCCAGGTGTGGTGGCACACACCTGTAATACCAGCTACTTGGGAGAATGACTTAAAGCTGGAAGGGAGAGGTTGCAGTGAGCCAAGATCTCACCATTGCACTGCAGCCTGGGCGACAGAGTGAGACCCTGTCAAAAAAAGAAAGAAAGAAAGGAAAGGAAAAGAAAAATTGCATTTTGAAAATGAGGGTGAAAAAAAATTTTCAGACAAAGAAAATATCATTTGCTCAGTAAATGAAATTCTAAATATACTTCAGACAGAAGGAGGGTGATCTCAGATGCAAAGACTGAGCTGCAAGGAGGAACAAAAGATAAAGGAAGTGTGTTCCCGGGACAAAGGAACCAGAGCTTTGTCTCAAACTGTGCATTCATGTAACCACTGCCCACTCTACATCTCCACTAGGACATACACTAGACAAGTCAAACTGCACAGCCAAAACACAACTCCTGATCTTCCCCCACATAAACGGCAACTCCGTGTATGAGTTGCCATTGAAGACATTTTAGCGTCACCCGACTCTCCTTTCTTTCATACTCCCCATCCGAAAATTGTATCAGCACTACTTTCATAACATATTCTGAAACTGCCTAGTTCCTACTACCTTCACAAGCCACAGTCACCTCTCACTGAGATGGCTGCAAAAGCCACCTAATTGGTCTTCCTACTCTACCCTTGCTCTGCCTCCCTGAGTCTAGTCTCAACACGGCAGTTGGAATCTGCTTTAACAGAATCTGCTTTAACAACAGCTCTGCTCAACTCCACAACAGGTTCCCATTCATTCAGAGGAACAGCCAAAGTCTTACGATGACCTGCAATGCCCCATGTGATCAGTTCCCCCTCTCTCTCCCCGACCTCATCTCCTACTTCTCACCCCTTCATTTACTGGGCTCCAGCTACACTGGCCTCCTTGCTAGTCTTTAAAAATGCCATATACCTTCCCAGCTTCTCACTGGCTGAATTCTGCCTGGCATGCCCTTGTCCAGGTGGAGATATCCCACATGGCTCTCTCACCACCTTACAGGTTTTGTTCGAGCTCCACCTTCTCGGGAAAGCCTACATATACTAAGCAGCTAAAACTGCACCTGGCACATAGAGTACTTGATAAATATTTGTTAAATCCTTTGCAAGTAAATGAACTATGTGGGTCAAGTGACATACTATCTGAAGCCATTATAGTGATGACCTACGGGTTTTATTTTTTAAGGAGAACTAAAATACATGAACGCTAAACCCAGAGAATTAAAATAGTTGACAGTAATAACATACAAATCAGGAGGGGTGTAACTGGAGTTACAGCGAGTTAAAGAGGGAGGCATATGGGGGAAGTAAAGATATTGATTAATTTTAAACTGTTACAAGACACCCAGACACAGGAGTGCACATTGTTGGAACCTGCTGCCTAAAACCGAGCAAAACGAATTTCTGGTGATAGAGGTGAGGACAGCCGTGAGCTCAGGGAGGGTGTTAAAGACTAGAGAGAAACATGAGAGGGCTTCGGGGGAGCTGCGTGCTGGTTACAGGGCTGTGCTCCCTTTATCTAAATTCACTGCTCTGTATTTATGAGTTGTTCTTTTCTGGGGGTATATATATGTCACACTTAAATGGGTAACCACTAAAAAAAAATTAGAAAGCAGTCAATTACTTCCAAAGTACAAGAGGCGGGAAAGAAATAAGAGAAAAAAAAACACATCAAACCTCAAAGAATCTAAAAGAAAGCAGTCAGGGGAAAGAAAAAGTCAAAAAGGTAAACAAACAGAAAGTATAAAATAACTGAAATTAATCTATGTACATCAGGAAGTACAATGAGTGAGAATGAATAAATATACAAGTTAAAAGACAAAACATTTCAAACTAGAGATTTTAAAACATCAGTTACATCCTATTTATAAGAGATATATGTAAAAAGAACAAAGGATATAAAAAGGTTGAGATTAAAGCAATGGAAAAGATAGCCCAGATAAATACCAACCAAAAGTATGTAGGTAAATGGTGTTAATTAACAACAGACAAGAAAAAAAAAAAGAGGGGGTTGGGGGCTTCCAGGAAAAAGCCTTATTAGAAATAGAGGGTTATATAATCCCTTTACTATTAAGTACTGAAGGATTTAATTCTGAATTTGCCCACCTAATAACATAACCTCAGAACTGGCAGAGCTACAAGGGGGAACACATGAGGGCAACTCTCACTAACTAGGAGACTAAGCTGACAGAAACAGAGGAAGCAGATCAGCGACATCAATGGCACCATTAATAAACTTCATCTGATGAACATGTGTGGAGAATATAGTCAACAACTGTAAAATATTCTTTCCTTTTATGCACACGTGGACCATTAATATTGGTTTATGTCAGGCTCTAAAACTAGGCTCAACAGCTTCCAAGGTACTGGCATCACACAGGTTATGTTCTCTAACCTGAATGCAAAAAGGTTAGAAATCCAAAAAAACAGGAAAGTTCTTATTTCCAGTAATTAAAAAAACATGCTTCTACACATATCAAGGGTGGAAGAGAAATCAAAATAGACATGGTTAGAAGCAAACAATAAGACACAGATTGCACAGCAAAACTTACAAGCCACACAGCAGTACTTGAAGGAAATTTATAACCTTAAATACTTATATTAGAAAAGAAGAAAGGCTGCATTAAAAAACTAAGCTTCAAATAAAGGAAGGAAAGAATAAAGATAGAAACAGAAAGCTTCAAAACGGAACAAACATACAAGGGAGAGCTTGGGAGACATTACTATAAATTTTGCAGAGATTAAGCCCACAATAACGGAATAACATAAGGAACATTTTAACAATACATTTGAAAATTTAGATGAAATGGACAAATTCTAAGTGTAGTAAGTCTAGCTTATATTTTTTATATTTAAGAAATTTTATAATATACACTTTAACACATGCTTAAAATTAAGACTACATCATACTTAAAACAAAAAAAAATCATACCATTTATAGGCAGAAACCTTTGTTTTTTAACTTCAAAACTCAGGTGACTGAGCAGAAAAACTGTGGGTTTTTTCTTTTAACCCACAGCAGAGACAGGAAACCCCACCTAGGTGCATTAGGTGCCTCAGAAGGTTACAATGCTAGCAGGACTAAGCAGTTCAGGTGCAGTCCAGAAGGAAACAGCAAGCACTTACTCCAAATAGAAAAATGAAGCTTCACTGACAGCCGACACCTGCACCACGCTTCATTGGGTCTGAGGATTTATTTCCTATGTATATCAGCTATTTAAGTAGACACACATTTTCTTACCTTTAAGATAAATAATAGAAATGGCTGCCACTTATTAGACATATATGTGTCAAGAACTGTCCTGGGTGGCTTACATAGGTTCTTTCCAATCCTTACAACACAACCCGATGCTGTAATCCCAGTTTTACAAATTAATAATCAGCACAGTGATTTGCTCATAGACTCACTCTTAATCACATGGGTACAAGATGCAAACGCAAGTCTAGCTGATGCCTCTCTTCATCCATCCTTTTCAACAGGAGGGCGCCAGGCAGGCAGCTGTCCACAGAGCCACAGTGAGCTCAAGAGAGGCTCTGTCCAAGACCAGCCCGCCACAGCTCATACAAAGCACCCACCTTGCGGATAACGTCTCGCAGAGCAAAATACTTCTCAGTGAGGTCCCCAGCCTCGCTCAGCGGGGCATCATAGTCGTAGCTGGTGGGCTGCGCTGCATAGGGTAAGTTGGCCCCTAGAAGACAAACATGTGCCACTAGTTATTACTGATGACCCAGCTCTGGGACAAGTTCTTTGGGATCCATGAGCTCAGCACTACGGAGAGAGAAAACTAGAAGACACATTAAAACCGCTGCTGGGAGACACAGCTGTGGCCCTCAGGATGCAAGGGTTGGGGCTGGAGTTTCCCTCTACAGGCGCACTCACCAGGCACCTTAGCGTTTACCAAGCACTCTTTCCATCCACTCTACAGCAGCTCAAGCTGTGATTCTAACAGGTATCACCCCCCACTGGACATGCAGGGGATCTGAAGCTCCCCACAAAAATCTGCCAGCACCTCACACCAGTAATGGCAGGGCTTATGCTGTGACCCCCAGCTCTGACCGTGAATCCTGTCAACTCTGAACTTTTTCATGTCCTCCAGCTGTATGGCTGAGAAAAGGTCAGTGGTGAGACACTGATGATTAGGCCACGGATCAGCAGAAAACGGAGGGCTTAGTAAACCAAACAAAGCAGGGGACAACGGCAGACCCACATCAGCCACAGAGGTTCAGATGTCATCTGAGGGCCTCTGTCGCATCTACGAAGGCTACAGAGGGGACCGTGGTGCACCCCTTGGATCTGTCTTCAGAACCAAGGCACTCACTCATTCCCCCAGTGGCTAGGGCTCACATTTCTCAGACGTGTCCCTCTCTGGGCGCTGGCCTCTGCTGAGCTGCCTCACCCACAGTTACAACCCTCAGGGATGGCCCACCTCCAACAACTGACCAATGTGCCGCACTTGGCCACCCCAGCTGCAGAGCTCCCTCTAAGACCGGCTGAGGCCACCTGTGACGTTGCACCATAGCCCAGCTTCTCCCTCTCTGTCTTACAGGCGTTGCTCCAGAGAGCACACCCAATAAGCTTTCTGCCAGGTCATCTCGGAGTCTGTTTCCCTGGGAACTTGACCTTCAACAAAGACCAATGGATGGTGCCACTACTGAGTATACAAAAGGACTAGAAAAACAAATGGCCCTACAATTACTGTGCAAGGGGCGGGGTCTAGACCAGAGGCTCTTGACCTTGTCTTGGATGATGATCACAGGTGTGAGGTTACCTGCAATATCGGGCGGTACTTCAGAAACTTCCTCACGCTTAAGAGTCACTTGGAGAGCTTGTTAAGAGATTCCTAAGCCCCATCCCAGAGATTCTGATTCAGCAGGTCTGGAGTGGGGCCCGAGGCTGCAGTTCTAACAGGCTTCCAGGTGACGCTGATGCTGCCATCTACAGACCAGCAAGGCTTTCTGCCTTCCTCTTCTACTTCAGAGAGTGTATTGCAATGCCAGTGTGTGAGAATGAAGTTACTTTAGGAGTCGTCTTTTGCCCAACCTAATTTGTACATGAATGAGGCACATAACATGCTAGGATTAGTAATAAATTCCTTGGACGCAGCTCACCAATGATGGAGCCACCTTGGGTGACCTAATACTGGTGGAGGTGACAGATGAGCAAGGCTGAGGATCAGATCAAGCAGGTCAGCCCCAAAGACTTTTTCATTAGTTCTCTGCACAGAATCTAAACTTTGAAAGACCTGGACCACTCAACCAACTGAACTGATCTAGTCATATCATTCCCCCATTTCTTATTAATCAGAGACAATTCACAGCCAACAGGTCTGCCTGTCTTAGGGGATGCATAGGTTAAAACACATCCCTTCCTGTCAGACACAAAGAAAAAAAAAACCCACATCCGTTGCTGCAAGGAACTCACCTTCTTTGTGGCCCTCCTCTGCCTCTAATGTGGTAGTGCCCAGGCCGCGCTGTGTTTCTTACTTGTATGTTTCTCTCCATGCTATACTGCTTGCACCTCAGGGGTAGAGCCTGTGCCTCACTTGCCCTTGAGTCCCCAGCCAGACTCTGGCATGGAGGAGGAGCTCAACCAGTGGTAGCCAGGTTGAGCTGAGCTGGATAAGTGTGACCTCCATTAGCACACTTTACAGGCCGAGGGAGCCCAGGCTGGGAAGCTGGCCAGCGGATTTAAGGATGGACTGGAAGACTGTCTTTGTTCTAGGGCTACTGACAGAATCGTACTTTAGACCACCATAGGGCAGCATCGCAGAGAAATGGTGCACATTCAGGCCTCCTCTAGCCACATAAGAGGGTGTGAGGTGGGAAGGCGAAGGAAATGGTGAGACTGCAGTCGTCAGCTCTCCACATTGTGTGAGAAATACACGAGCGCCTGGACCCTGCAGGCAGCCATCACACGGCTGTGGACACACACAGGCGCGGAGGGAGACACACCTGCACGGGGAGGCGCACGTTCCCGTGGGCTGAACAGTGAGCTCCCTGCTCCTGACGCTTTTCTGTCCCTGCTCTCCTCTGGGAACAGAGAGTAGCTGGCCTGGAGAACAGCTACTAAGTACAGACTGGCCTTCTCTCACTTCCTCAAATGGACGGGTCAAAAAGGCAGCTTCAGAGAGGCGTGGCAGAACACAGCGGGGCGGGTGTGGGGGCTGGCTCACCACCGCCCGAGTTTCAGTCCAGGCTCCATCCCTTGCCAGCTGAACAGAAAACCTGTGGACTTTTTTTTGGTGTTCAGCTATGTTTTTATTTTATTTTTTTTTTAAAGACGGGGTTTCACCATGTTGGTTGGACTGGTCTTGAACTCCCGACCTCAGGTGATCTGCCCGCCTTGGCCTCCAAAGTGCTTGGATTACAGGCTTGAGCCACCGTGCCTGGCCAGGTATTCAGCTATTTTTTAGACAGAGTTTCGCTCTTGTTGCCCAGGCTGGAGTGCAGTGGCACGATCTCGGCTCACCACACTGCCACCTCCCAGGTTCAAGCGATTCTCCTGCCTCAGCCACCAGGATTACAGGCATGCACCATCATGCCTGGCTAATTTTGTATTTTTAGTAGAGACGAGGTTTCACCATGTTGTCCAGGCTAGTCTCCAACTCCTGACCTCAGGTGATCCACCTGCCTCTGCCTCCCAAAGTGCTGGGATTACAGGCATGAGCCACCATGCCCAGCTTGCATTCAGCTGTTTTTATCTGTAAAGTGGTGTTGATCATCTCTAATCCAGACAAGACTAATGTGAGGACTAAGTAAGAAAACAGGCAGAACAGAGAATTCTATGGATTATGGCAGAGGGAGGGGCAGGCGAGAGGATTAAGGACAACTTCTATGTTCCGACAGTTTCTACAATGCCCAATTTTTTTCTAAGATGAATGTGTTATTCTAAGTATAATATTAAGATTTTTTTAAAAATTGTGTCATGAACCATACAATTCTAAAAAACGATGTCATTTTTCCTGGATTGGATGATTGGTCTCGATCCCATCAGCGGCAGCTAGGGGGAACCCCCATCTTCAGAGTGAAAAAGGCATTCCACCAGGTATCAGCTCTCTTATAAGATGAATACACAGAGATGATCTAAAATATCAATTACCAACCTTGGCACACTATTCTCTTTTCTTTTTAAAAAAATTTAATTTAATTTTAAGTTCCGGGATACATGTGCAGAACATGCAGGTTTGTTACATAGGTAAACGTGTGCCATGATGGTTCGCCACACCTATCGACCGGTCACCTAGGTATTAAGCCCTGCATGTATTAGCTATTTATCCTGAAGCTCTCCCTCCCTGCAATCCCCCAACAGGCCCCGGGCACACTATTATCTTATATGCAGTGAAATTTCAGTTTTGCAATATCTTCGTCTCTTGGCTGTAGTAATAGTATTAAAATTGATAATGCTTGTAAGTAATGTCTTCTCCTAGCCCATCTCAGCCTGCAAAAAAGATAGCAGTTCAAAGAGAAACTTCATTAAGTGCTGACAGCATCTGATTTCAGATCCTGAGAGATTTAGGTCCAAATGAAACCTTCAGAACTCAACAGCTGGGCATCGTCCTTGATTCACAGAGAAAAATGCAAACAGAGAGACAGGTAGGGAATGAAGCTTAGAGAAAAGTCAGGGCAGCATCATTTGTCTTTGCAAAAAAAATCAAAGACATTGCAGAAAAATTTTTGTCATAATTTTTCCTACACAGAAAACTGTAGAAATGTGAAATGGCACGGCCATTTTGGAAGACACTATGGCAGTTCCTCAAACTCTAAACACAGAATTACCACATGACGTGGCACTTCCACCTCTTGGTATACACCCGAAGGAACTGAAACAGGAATTCAAACAAATCGTTGTACATCAGTGTTCAAAGCAACACTCTAACCAAAATGTGGAAATAACCCAATGTCCATCAGCCAATGAATGGATAATAAAATACTGCACATCCACACAAGGGAATACTATTCAGCAATCAAAAGGAATGAAACACTGATACACGTGACAACATGGACGAACCTTGAACACACTGGACTAAATGAAAGACGTCAGACAGGTGTATATATGTGGTTCATTTATACGAAATGTTCAGAATTGGCAAGTCCAGAGGGACAGAAAGTATATTGCTTCCAGGGGGTGGGAGGAGGAAGGGTGTGAATGCATGCTAATGGGTATGGAGTTTCTTTTTGCGGTGATAAAATGTTACTGAGTTAGATAATGGCAATGGTTACACAACTTTGTAAATACAGTAAATGCCACTGCATCATATATTTAAAAACTGTAAATTTTATGGTTTGTGAATTATATCTCAACAAAACAAAATGTTAAAAAAAAAAACAAAAAACACAGCGGAATATTTGAACAAATAAGCTACAGTTATAGACTGTAGCTAAAGCCTGCCCAACTTCTGGTGAAAAACAGGAAGGCTTCAAATGCTCATAAAAATTTATGTACCTTAAATTTTTTTTAAGAAATATTATTTTAAAAAATTATATAGGTAATCCTTATATATTAGAAAATGTAGGACCAGGTGCGGTGGTTCATGCCTGTAATCCTCACATTTTGGGAGGCCAAAGTGGGAAGATCGCTTGAGATCAGGAGTTCGAGACTAGCCTGGCCAACATGGTGAAACCTTGTCTCTACTAAAAATACAAAAAATTAGCCAGGCATAGTGGCATGCACCTGTAATCCCAGCTACCTGGAGGCTGAGGCAGAGGCAGGAGGATCCCTTGAGCCTGGGAGGTGGAGGTTGCAGTGAGTCAAGATTGAACCATTGCACTCCAGCCTGGGCGACAGAGCAAGACTCTGTCTCCAAAAAAAAAAAAAAAAAAAAAAAGAAAGAAAGAAAGAAAGAAAAAGAAATTTTAGGAGAGGATAAACAAAAAAGGTAAATAAAAACTGTCTGTGGGCACATCCCTCCCCAAATTAATCAACAGAAACATTGTAGCATAAGTTTCTACAGATGTTAAAGTGCTCTTACCATTCCAGTAGGCAAAATTGGTCCCACCTATAAACATGTACCTACAAGGAAACAAAAGAACACAGTACTTCACTGTGAGCCCATGGCTACTGAGGGCACCCTCCCCTCAGGCGATGAACACTCACAAGTTCACACTCGCCCCATGAGCCAGTATGTCATGGAGGGAGGAAGCCACGGCTTCGGTCTTGATTGTGGAGTGAGGTTGGCCCCAGTGGTCTAGCCAGCCAGTATAGAACTCAGAATTGATCTAAAATGAAAAAACAATGTGGCCCTTAGGATAGACTTATGCCCCTCCAATGCCACCACTTCCCTGCAATCCCCCATCTGTGACAGGTAGCAAGGGGGTGGACTTTGCACTGCTTAACCCAGAGCCAGGGGACCAATGAGCACTTTCAATACCAGCAATGCTGACATCCAGTCCTCAGGTTCATAGCTAAAGTGAGAGCTCATCTTACACAATGCAGGTATTCCTGAAGAGTGGTGCCTACATTCAAATTTAGATAGCTGATCCCCTGTTTAAACATGGTAGGAAAGTCTTGTTGGGCAAAGAAACTGGATAGCAAAATATTTTTATAGAATAACAGCTCCAAGTTCACCCTTTGTATGAATCCAGATTTTGAGATCTCAGGTTGATGAGGTAGACTTGTCCCAGCATTCTGCAAAGCAGGCCTCAAACACTTCATGTTTTCCTTGGGCATTGCCCTGCCAAGCCTTGGGTCTAGAGAACAGAAAAGAAAGCTGGACCTTCTCGTGGGGACGTCTTGTTTCAGGTTCCAGGAAATGGCTCCACCCAAAGCCTATGAATGCAGGGTCTGCACTGCTCACTAAGGAGAGACTAGACCCAGAAAAGGCTGTTTTATAAAGAAGGCTTGTACACAGGTGGGGCAGTCTGACCTGGTACAGAGAAGGCACAGGGTATTAACCCCATAAACTAGGCTGAGTGACAACAAGAACAGCAACTTCAGCTGAACGGAAAGAGAAGGATCGATAGATTGTTGACACCCGCCTGCACCTGCCGCCATCTCCTCCTCCTAGCAGCCTACACCGTGTACCATAAAGCCCTGCAATTCAGTGTGGTCAGCAAACCTACATCCTTAAGGCCACCTGGCTGCTTATTAGAAATGAGACTCTCAGGGCCGGGCACAGTGGCTCACACCCATAATCCCAGCCCTTTGGGAGGCCAAAGCAGGATCACTTGGGGTTAGGAGTTTGAGACCCGCCTGGCCAACATGGTGAACCCTCGTCTCTACTGAAAACACAAAAAGATTAGCTGGGCGTTGGGGCGCACACCTGTAATCCCAGTTACTCAGGGGGCTGAGGCACAAGAATTGCTTGAACCGGGGGGGAAGTTGCAGAGAGCCCAGATGGCACCACTGAACTCCAGCCTGGGCGACAGGGCAAGACTCAGTCTCCAAAAAAAAAGGAAATGAGAATCTCAGGCCCCAACCCAGACCCAGCAGATCAAAATTTGCTGTGCTTATGAATCACTTGAGTCTTAACAAAATCCCCAAGTGATTTGTAAACACTTTAAAGGTGGAGAAGCTCTGTCACAAAGAGCTATCAGTTAAGACAGACTTGAACTCAGACCCTGGTCCAGCCATTCACTGGCTATATGACCCTGGCAAGTGACACAGCTTTCCTGAGCCTCACTGAAAATGGAGACAATAACACCACCTCTGAGAGCTGCCCCGAGGACCAGATGAAACCAGGAAGCAGGGGCACGCAGCCTGGTGTAACAGGTCATCCGTGTTGGTGCTCCGTCTGTCCCACCCCAGCACAGGAGCTCCGTTTCAAACAGGAACATTGTTTCTGCTGTCATTCGCACACCCAGATGGCCATGACTCCACGATCCCATTAGCTGCTGACCCCAGAGCCGAAACCACTAAGGGCCTGCTCCCCAGTTTCAGCAGCACGCAACCTTTCTCTCCTAAGAGCTGCAATGAAGCTGTACAAGCCAGAGTCTCTCCACACCTCACCCTCAATTCTTACCAAGGGTCCTTTGGGCTCACACTTCCTCTGGATTTGGAAAGCATCTGTAATGTTGCTGCCTGAAAGTTATAAGGGAGAAGGTAGGTCAGTCATGGAAATGACAAGAAGTTAAATAACAAGAGCCCTTCATGGGACTTGGGCCTGAAGCTCTGCTACAGTCAGAATGTTGGTGTCCCCTCAAAATTCTCATGTGGGAACTTAACCCCCAATATGATAGTATTATGAGGTGAGGCCACTGGAAGTGATTGGATCAGAACAGCTCCACCCTCATGAATGGGATTAGTGCCCTTATAAAAGGAGGCTCCGGCCTGGCCTGGTGGCTCATGCCTGTAATCCCAGCACTTTGGGAGGCCAAGGCGGGCGGATCACCTGAGGTCAGGAGTTCGAGACCAGCCTGGCCAACATGGAGAAACACCTTCTCTAGTAAAAATACAAAAATTAGCCAAGTGTAGTCCCAGCTAATTGGGAGGCTGAGGCAGGAGAAATCACTTGAACCTGGGAGGTGGAGGTTGCAGTGATTTGAGATCGTGCCATTGCACTCCAGCCTGGGTGATAGAGCAAGACTCCATCTCAAAAAAATTTTTTTTAATAATAAATAAATAAATAAACAAATAAATAGAGGTTCAAGGGAGCTTCCTGGACACATGAGGACACAGCAAGAAGGCATGGGACCATCTTTGAAGCAGACAGCAAGCCCTTCCCAGACACTGAATCTGCTGGCATCTTGATTTTGGACTTCCCTCCCTCTAGAACCGTGAGCAGTAAATTTCTTTTGTTTATAAATAATAACCCAGTCTAAGGTATTTTGTTATAGCAGCCAAAACTGACTAAGGCAGGCCTCTGTCCCTTCCCACACCCCATGGGCCTGGAATACTTCCAAGCTAGCTTCAGACTGGACCCATTAGAGGACGTGCATGGACCACAGAACGTGGCTTCTCTCTGAGGAGGTCCCTGGGGCCTTTCCGGTCTGCACAGGAGTTCCCTTTGCAGTCCTGTCTTCTTTATCTGTGCTTCCCCCAGGCCTGGACAAATATCTTGTGTGTTATCTCTTCACAAGAACATTTGGTTGACCTGGAAGCACCCCACAGGATGAGCCTGGTTTGAAGTTACAGCCTCCCTAATACCACACACGATAGTGCCACAAATATTTGCCAGTTAATTAACACATCAAAGGGCTGTGAGTGCTCTCATTGTGTTTACTCCTGAATAATGGAACATACTCTGGATTCTAATTTGTACATCAACCATTCCATACCACTTGCTCTCAATTTTCCCCTATGAAATATCCCAATAGAATGTCATATCTTGGCCGGGCGCGGTGGCTCAAGCCTGTAATCCCAGCACTTTGGGAGGCCGAGGCGGGTGGATCACGAGGTCAAGAGATCGAGACCATCCTGGTCAACATGGTGAAACCCCGTCTCTACTAAAATTACAAAAAAATTAGCTGGGCATGGTGGTGTGTGCCTGTAATCCCAGCGACTCAGGAGGCTGAGGCAGGAGAATTGCCTGAATCCAGGAGGCGGAGGTTGCGGTGAGCCGAGATCGCGCCATTGCACTCCAGCCTGGGTAACAAGAGTGAAACTCCGTCTCAAAAAAAAAAAAAAAAAAAAAAAGAATGTCATATCTTGCCTCTTGTGTCTTCTATTGTCCCTTCTTCCTCTAAAACGAAGAAGAATTTCTCCACAGAGAAGGAATGGGCTGCCAAGCATTGGGGAAAGAAGAAGCAGGAGCACTATCCATGCCCACCCGAGCAGAGGACGCCCTGGCTTCACACTTCATGACCCCGTTCCCACAGCAGGTATCCCAGGGTGGACACGGACCCAGCCAAGACCCTCTGATAACCGCTTGCTCTGAGATGGGGCTTTAGCTTCTCTGTTGCCCAGGCTGGGATGCAGTGGCACAATCACAGCTCATTGCAGCCTTGAACTCCTGGGCTCAAGTAATCCTCCTGCCTCATTCTCCCGAGTAGCTAGGACTATAGGCACTTGCCACCACGCCTAGCCTGTAAGTTTTTATTCTGCAGTAATTTCAAACTTGTAGAACATCTTAAGAATAGTACCAAAAAACTCTCATATCCCTTCACCTAGATTTCCCAAATGTTAGCATTTTACTAGATTTACTCTATCAGTTTCTCTACAAAAATACACATTTTTCTGAGCCATCTGAGAATAAATTGCAGATGTTATGGCCCTTTGTCACTAAACACTTCAGTGTTTATTCTTTAAGAACAAACACATTCTTTAAATAAGCACAATATACTTATAAAAATCAAGAAATTACACTGATACAATACTATAATCTACAGACTTTATTGAAAGATCGCAATTGTCTCAATAATGTCTTTCATAGCCGCACCCCCAACCCCTAAAAAAAAGTCCGGTCAGTCCTTTAGCTGCTGATATGGCTTGGATCTGTGTCTCCACCAAATCTCATGTGGAACTGTAATCCGCGGTGTGGGAGGTGAACTGATGGGAGGGGACTGGACCATGGGGGCAGAGTTCTTGTGAATGCGTTAGCATCGTCCCCTCAGTGCTGTTCTCCTGGGACTTACTGAACGTGTTATGAGATCTGGTTGTTTAAAAGCCTGCAGCACCTTCCCTTCTCTCTCTTCCTCCTGCTCTGGCCATATAAGACGTCCCTGCTTTCCCTTTGCCTTCTGCCATGATAGTAAGTTTCCTAAGGCCTCCCCAGTCTCCGGTATTCATTTATAGCAGTGCAAGAATGGGCGGATATAGCTGTCATATCCTTTATGAAAGCCACTCTCCTAAATGAAGACTCTTATCGTTACTTATGGCCAGAAGCATCCTAACCACATTGCCCGCCCATCTGTAACTTTCACTTACAGCATCCCCACCGTTTACACAGCACCGTGTAAGGAATCTGGCAAGGCAGCTTTTGTAGCATCTGCCAAACCATCTCCAGCCCTGACAGTTCATCGTGTTCTAAGTTATGCAGAAAGATAACAAGTGTAAGGTAAGTTCCCAGCCAGTGGCTGACCTCAAAGTTGGCTGCAGCCAAGACACAGCCCCGTGTCCTGCCAAGAGGGGAGGACAGGGAGGGCCGAAATAGCAGAGAAGCACACCCCAGACACAGTCTAAAAGGTGACTGCCTCAAGGGAGAGCTTCTCACAGCTGGAGCCTCCCACCCACTTCTCCATCTCGGGTGGGCCAGCCCAGCCCCTGAGACAGTAGTACTCCGTGTTCCAGCCAGCTCCACCAGTGCTGAAAACGCAGCTAGCCTGGAAGCTCTTGGCCTACAGATTACCTGTTACTGAGGGATGCGAATATTCTATTCTATCTGTCCCTTGAAAAAGGAAAATGTGAAAAATCTCAGTCTGCCCACGACACTTAAAACAAGTGCCCAGAGCAACTGATGGAGTAAAAAGCTGATTTTAAGCTGCAACTTCTGTTACCACAAACACCCACCTGTTCCGAAGTCCACTGTGGCGTAGAGGCCCTGCAGGGCCCCACACCGCAGGAACTTCTCATGTGCCCCGTCAGTGGTGAACAGAACCACGTCGTCCCCCAGATGGTGGCGAAAGCGCTTCTGCAGGAAGCGCAGGTAGTCAAAATCACAGGCGAAGTAGCTGCCGTATTCATTTTCCACCTGTGAGTGACAAAAGAGCAGGGAAAAATGAGGAGATCTCAGTGGAGCCATCCTGATGCAAGCTTTTGTGTGGGGAAGATACCTGAGCATCTGCTAAGATGACAAGGCTTAGTGATTGTCAGAAAAATTTCCTTCACTCAGACTTCAAAACTGACTAAAAAACCCCCAACAATTCAGCATAAAAGTTTACTTCCTATTAACCCTCTCCCACCGCTGAGAAATAAGAAAAAAAAAAAAAAAAAAAAAAAACCGTCAAACTGGTGTTCAGATTGTAGCGGTATTCTTCCCTAAAATAGAAAGTAGATACTTCAAACATCACATAAATGATACCTTCCCATGGCAGAAATGCTAGGAAAATGAAAATGGAAAAAGTATCCGTCAATTCCATTGCCCAGAGATAATCACAGCAGGCATTTTGGTATACAGCTAGATTTACACAGATACACACACTCCCCAAATAGATACAAATAATATACAGCAGTGTTTTCTTTCCTCAAAAACTGGCATCACATTTTACGCACCAGTTGTAACGCTGTTTTCCCTTAATAAACTATGCAAAACCTCCATGGCAATGGGAAGGGTGAATGCCGGGGCCAGGTGCACCATATTTATTTGACATGCTGTCAAATACACACCTATGTTCAGTTTGTGCTCAGTAACATCAGTGGTTCTCAACTAGGAGCTCTTTGGCCCCACAGGGGACATTTGGCTGCGTCTGGAAATGTCTGTGGTTATCACAGCTCGGGAAGTGCTCATGGCATCCAGTGGGTAGAGGCCCAGGGATGCTGCTGGACATCCACAGTGCATGGGGAAGCCCCACGATGAAGAATGATCAGGTGCAAGATCATTCTTCATCGTGATCAAGGGGGGCGGTCCCTGCTCTGAAGCATGCATTCCCAGTGAGGTGAGTAGCATCCTTGAGGGGTTAAACATTGATGCTTTGGGGATTAAAAATATATTCTTTATTTATATAAAACATATATATACACAGCAAATAAACCAATACACAATGTCTCAGGTATTAAAATTTCATGGTGAAGAGGAGAAGGCAATTAGAAAAAAAGTTTAAAAGGGATCCTTGGGGGCAATGATGAAAAAAAGGTTAAGAAACATTGCTCTCAAGCAATAAAACAAATGAACTTCAGCTCTACTCAATAAGACAATCTTAGGAATATAATCTCAAGTGGAAGTATGACACTGAAAAATACAGTACAATCCCCTTTAGAGAAAATTCAAAACAATCAAAACCAAACTAGAAAGTCTGAGTACACACACAGGTGGTAAAAGTATAAAAAGAAGTAAAAACCCAATGGACATAAAAGTCAGGATAGTGGGACGCAATGGTGTATGATCAAGGACACCCGGGAAGCTTCTAGGGCACTGGCCACGTGCTGCTTCCTGACCTTGGTTGGTGGTTATGTGGGTGTCCACAGCACAGTGATTCATTATACTGCACATTTATGTATGTATGTTACGTTTCATTTACAAAAATTAAAAAAAAAAAACCCAACCATAAAATTTTAATCTGCACATAATACAAACCAAATATTTGTGATCCTGGGAATACATGATCTTTAAACACAAGCACAAGAAACTGTGGCCCCCAGAAAAGAGGTGCTTAGCCTGAGTGGCTGGGAGAGACTGTCAAGGAATGTTCCTTGGAAGGACAGCCCGAGGTAGATCTGGAAGAAAAGGCTCTGAGTTGGGGAGGGAACAGGTAGAGGGCATTCCTACATATTTGACCTCACCAGCAGATCAAGTTCATCCATGTGCAGAGTTGGAGAGCAGGGAAAGAAGGGTGAGCGTTGAAAATGAACTAAACGTCACCGTCATTATCTGCACAGTGCTGCCTCCCAAATGGTTTCAAGAATGATCATTCTCTCAGACGATCCCTTTGGCAATACTCTCATATTTTGGCTTCAAGAAGTAAAACAGACTGTAGCATGCATGCCCAGGACAGAGGCTTCATTGGTCATAAAACCATCCGGAAGAGGAAGTGTTTGCCGCTTACACAGAGTAGAAAACTTCATTGATGAGTCCCACGAAAGTTCCTTTTGCAGTAGTTTAGGTAAATGCTAAGAAAAGCTTTGTAACTGGCAAGGTTCTTTTCTCCTCCCTCTTTTGTAAGTGCTACTTACATGACTGTGTCTCCTTTTTATCATTTGGCTGTCAAGAAGTTCAGAGCTAAAGATCTTAAAAGTGGTTCCAGCAACTAAATGGGCTCACATCTCTGCACCTCATGTTCTCTTCTGCCCTTCCCCAAGTCCCAACCTATTGTCTTGCTTTTTCAGGTCTTATTTATGCATCGTCATCATTGTATCACATACTCTCAAATAAATAGGCTTGTAAAAAATGCATACACATAATTTGGTTAGATGATGAAGAGAGAGAAAAGCACAATTGCAAAGCAGCTTAGCGTCCTGGCCACGGCACGGCTGGCAAAGACCCAACCGTCTACATGCAAATGTGAGCTCTGCCACTTCCTGTTCATGGGGCTCCACCTGTAAAGTGTACCTACCTCACTGGGTTATCATGAGGCTTAACTGAGTCGTACATGACTAGAAATTTGCACAGATCTGGCATCTAGTAAGTGCTCAAAATGCTGGCAACTAAGACTGTACTTAAGTTCTATGTTACTATCAGTTAGGAAAAAAAGAGGTGTGTGAAGGCTGGGGTTGGGTAAAACACACAAATGAAAAGGCTTGAAAACCCCATAGAAAAAGTCATGGTGAGCTTCAGAGGGAGACTGATGTTTCTAGAGCAGGAGTCTACAAACTTTTAAAATAAAACACCAGGCCAGGTGTGGTGGCCCACGCCTGTAATCCTACCACTTTGGGAGGCTGAGGTGGGTGGATCCCTTGAGGTCAGGAATTCGAAACCAGCCTGGTCAACATGGTGAAACCCATCTCTACTTAAAAAAAAAATAAATAAATAAAAAAAATAAATAAATTAGCCAGGCATGGTGGCGAGCACCTGTAATCCCAGCTACTTGGAAGGCTGAGACATGAAAATCACTTAAACCCAGGAGGCAAGGCTGCAGTAAGCCAAGATTGTGCCACTACACTCCAGCCTGGGTGACACAGTGAGACACTGTCTCAAAACAAACAACTGCCAGAGAGTAAATATTTTAGGCGTTGCAGCCACAGAGGTCTCCATCTCAATGACTCAAGTCTGCCACTGCAGTACAAAAGCAGCCACAGACAACAGATAAACAGTGTGGCGATTCCAATATACCTTTCCTTACAAAAATATGTAGGTGGCGGCCATCATTTGCAGGTCTTTGTTCCAGAGTAACTGTCTCCATCCTGTAAGCTCCTTAAGCACCAGAGACTTTATTTATTTATTTATTTTTATTTTATACATATATATATATATATTTTTTATTGCACTTTAGGTGCTGGCGTACACGTGCAGAACATGTAGGATTATTGCATAGGTACATACATGGCAGTGTGGTTTGCTGCCTCCATCCCTATCACCTATATCTGGCATTTCTCCCCATGTTATCCCTCCCCAATTCCCTACCCCCTGCTGTCCCTCCCCTAGTCCCCCACCAACAGACCTCAGTGTGTGATGCTCCCCTCCCTGCGTCCATGTGTTCTCATTGTTCAACACCTGCCTATGAGTGAGAACATGTGGTGTTTGATTTTCTGTTGTGGTGTCACTTTGCTAAGAATGATGGTTTCCAGGTTCATCCACGTCCCTGCAAAGGACACAAACTCATCGTTTTTTATGGCTGCATAGTATTCCATGGTGTATATGTGCCACATTTTCCCTGTCCAGTCTATCATGGATGGGCATTTGGATTGGTTCCAGGTCTTTGCTATTGTAAACAGTGCTGCAATGAACATTCGTGTGCACGTGTCCTTATAGTAGAACGATTTATAATCCTTTGGTTATATACCCAGTAATGGGATTGCTGGGTCAAATGGAATTTCTATTTCTAGGTCCTTGAGGAATCGCCACACTGTCTTCCACAGTGGTTGAACTAATTTACACTCCCACCAACAGTGTAAAAGTGTTTCTATTTCTCCATATCCTCTCCAGCATCTGTTGTCGCCAGATTTTTTAATGATCGCCATTCTAACTGTTGTGAGATGGTATCTCAATGTGGTTTTGATTTGCATTTCTCTGATGACCAGTGATGACGAGCATTTTTTCATATGTTTGTTGGCCTCATATATGTCTTCTTTTGAAAACTGTCTGTTCATATCCTTCACCCACTTTTGAATGGGTTTGTTTTTTTTCTTATAAATCTGTTTTAGTTCTTTGTAGGTTCTGGATATTAGCCCTTTGTCAGATGGGTAGATTGCAAACATTTTTTCCCATTCTGTTGGTTGCTGGTTCACTCTAATGATTGTTTCTTTTGCTGTGCAGAAGCTCTGGAGTTTAATTAGATCCCATTTGTCTATTTTGGCTTTTGTTGCCAATGCTTTTGCTGCTTTAGTCATGAAGTCCTTGCATATACCTATGCCCTGAATGGTTTTGCCTAGGTTCTCTTCTAGGGTTTTTATGGTGTTAGGTCTTATGTTTTTAAGAGTCTTTAATCCATCTGGAGTTAATTTTAGTGTAAGGTGTCAGGAAGGGGTCCAGTTTCTACTTTCTGCACATGGCTAGCCCGTTTTCCCAACACCATTTATTAAACAGGGAATCCTTTCTTCATTGCTTGTTTTTGTCAGGTTTGTCAAAGATCAGATGGTTGTAGATGTGTGGTGTTGCCTCAGAGGCCTCTGTTCTGTTCCATTGGTCTATATCTCTATTTTGGTACCAGTACCATGCTGTTTTGATTACTGTAGCCTTGTAGTATAGTTTGAAGTCAGATAGTGTGATGCCTCCCCAGCTTTGTTCAGCACCAGAGACTTTTAAAGTTGCTGATCTTCCAAGTAGGTATAAATAGGCTTATTACCTCATGATGAATGCCCGGTTAATTGGATAAAGTAAAGTTGTGGGTGGAAGGTCGTCCAGTCCTAATTATCTTCACCTTGGATATTATCAATGCCTTTAGTTTTTTTCAGGTAAAAACTGAGATAAACATCCACATATGCAAACCATCATAGGTGGCACTGGCTCAGCTAATCACTGCAAAAGAGAAACATCTGCATATCTGTCTGAATTATGAGGAGGAATAAAAGCCCAGACCTGGCTTCCTGCATCTGTAACCCAGCAGTGTTGAGGGTCCTAAATGTTCTCAGACAGGGATTTGAGCCTTCTGGTCTGACTCATTTTTGCCCTGGCTGCAAACACGTAGCTCCTCCCTGACCATCTCAAACTCTCTGCGCACCCAGAGAGAAAATCAACATTAAGAATTGAGTAAAGCCACCACTTTCTACCCTTCAACAGGAATTAAGACAGAGAGAGAAATCAGCTTTTACATAGGTCTTTAATTTTTGAGACAGAGACTCACTTGGTTGCCCAGGCTGGAGTGTAGTGAGTGGTGTGATCACGGCTCACTACAGCCTCAATCTCCCAGGCTCAAGTGATCCTCCTGTCTCAGCCCTCCAAATGGCTGAGAACACAGGGACATGCTACCATACCCAGCTAATTTTTAAATTTTTTGTAGAGATGGACTTTCACTATGTTGCCTAGGCTGGTCTTGAACTCCTGGGCTCAAGAGATCCTCCTGCCTCGGCCTCCCAAAGTGCTGGGATTACAGGCATGGAGCCACCATGCTTGGCCCTTTTACAGAAATCTTGACACCTAGAAATACTGCCTACAAATCCCCCAGTTCCTTCTTATCAAACCAGTCAGCTTCTATTCCATTCCAGAGCCGTTTGGTGGGTGTGTGACATGCACAAATGCAGGATGTGCCCTCATGGCTGCCAGGCAGAGGTATGGGGAACCGGGAGACTAGAGGCACAGTGTGTCAGGGGTGAAACTGCTGCCACAGGTGCCTCACAAAAGGAGGTGCCTGTGATGGTTCTGAAAGTCCTACAGAAGCCAGTGATGTCAACTGGGCCAGCTTCTGGACAGAGGGAACGCAAGTAGGAACTGTGCCTCAGAAGGCAAGTAGGAAACCATGAAAGATGATGCTACAAAGGGTTTTTAACGCTATGCAGAAATGCTCATGACAACGAATGACGCAAAAAAAAAAAAAAAAAAGCCACACAGAAAATAGGTCACACGGAATGAACTTACTCTGTAAAAAAGAGGAACAAAAAGGCATAAAAAATCTTCAAGGAAACTCCCCAAATGGGAAGAGCTTTGCTGTGCTCCTGAGGTTTGAGTAACAATTATGTTTTTTCTGCTTTCTTATGTCTCTCCATACTTGTTTACTTTGTAAACAAAGTGCAAAAATGATAAGGTGGGATTCTAGTGCATGGAGATGGGGAGAGGATGAGGAGGAGGAAGACAGAGTCACTGGCAGGACCCATGGTCAAGTAAAAGTCATCTGAGGTTGCTAGGGACGGACACAGAGGAAATTCTCCCAGACAGTCAACTTCACTCTCCTCTGCCGAATTAATACCTGACCACACTTTTCATGGCATTTCCAAAACCAAAAGAGGCAGAAAATTGTGAGTAGAAATTGAAAGTGGTTCAAAGAGAAGCAGAGACTGAAAATAAGAGGGCATCAAAAGAGGGTTTGCACCTAAGACCAGGAGAGAGGAAGACACAGCCATGCAGGGCAAAGACGCACCCAAGGTTCAGAGTTGATATCTTCATGGAGGAAAATGTGGTTCCTGTTAGCTTAACCAGTACAGCCTCAAGACAGTAAAAGACAGGGGCATGAGGGAGGACTCACACATCCCTCTGTAAGCAACAACCTGGCCTCTTCCAAGAAGACATCTCCTCCCACCATGAAGCCTCAGAACAGACCCCCTGGCCAGTGCAGGCCTCTCAGCACCTCTGTCCACTTACACTTGAAAGGCAAGGGAGTGTCCACACTCCTGCCCTACCATGACCCATCCCCACAACCTGCCTATAGTGCTGTTCATAAGAAGGAAGCCTAGCCCATGCTCCTCTGCTAGGGAGTGCCACTCTGCATCCCCAGGATGCCCAGGATGCAGTCACTTTTATATAACTTTACTCTTTTCCATAAAGGCATCCTTGGTCAAGGCCAGGCATGGTGGCTCATGCCTGTAATCCCAGCACTTAGGGAGGCTGAGGCAGGTGAATCACCTGATCTCAGGAGTTTGAGACCAGCCTGACCAACATGGTGAAACCCTATCTCTACTAAAAATACAAAAAAACAGCCAGGCTTTGTGGCGCACACCTGTAATCCCAACTACTTGGGAGGCTGAGGCAGGAGAGTTGCCTGAACCTGGGAGGTGGAGGTTGCAGTGAGCCGAGATCATGCTACTGGACTCCAGCCTGGGCGACAGAGCAAGGCTCTGTCTCATAAAATACCCCAAAACAAAACAACAAAAAAACCTTTACTCTTTTCCATAAGAGCATCCATGGTCATGGCTGGGCACAGTGGCTTACCCCTATAATTGCAGCACTTCGTGAGCCCAAGGCAGGCAGATCACCTGAGGTCAGGAATTTGAGACCAGCCTGGTCAACATGGCGAAACCCATCTCTACTAAAAATACTAAAATTAGTTGGGTGTGCTGGCATGCACCTGTAATCCCGGCTACTTGGGAGGCTGAGGTGAGAAAATCGCTTGAACCTGGGAGGCGGAGGTTGCAGTGAGCTGAGATCACGTCACTGCACTCCAGCCTGGGCAACAGAGTGAGACTCTGTCTCAAAAAAAAAAAAAAAAAAAAAAGAAGCATCCTTGGTCAATGTCCAATGAATACGGTTTTATGTTTCATCTAAGTAATTTTACCAACACCAAAAACTGTTGACGTTCAATGTACCCCACAGTATATCAGTCTTTGCAGAGAGCCAAGAACACAGGGAAGAAGGAGAATGGGGCAGGAAGCGAGAGAGGAAACGTAACAGCCCCAATTGACCACATCCTTTTCCACTCCAGGGTTATCTGACTGCTGAGGCAGTGCTGATACCAAAGTGTTTCAATCCATGCTGCATGCCTGCCACAGAAAACAGTATTGACGGGGGGAGGGAGAGAGAGAGAGAGAGAGAGGCAGAGACAGACAGAGGCAAACTCTGGGATCTGCAGAAGTAGGGTGCAATCCTAATTCTGCCACCTGCTGGCTGGGTGACCTTGGCCAAGTCACTTAACCTTTTCAAACTTCCTCACTGAAAAGAGAGGGTGGTGGGAAGAACTGAATGGCATTTACAGGACACACAGCACAAGCCTGCCACACAGTAGGTATTGAAAAATGGTAATAATGCCTTACCGTAAGCAATTTAACTAATGCCCTATCTCTGCCATTACCTCTTAAAGAAACAGACCTTTGAGGCTCCCGTCTGCAACACTGCTATCACTTATATAATGTAGACGGAGCGGACCACCCCCACTCCATCCATGCTCAACTCCAGGGTTACCTGCACTGTTATCACTGGCCCTCCATTCTGATAGAGGAGAGGCTTCATCTTGGGCAGAAGGACTCCCAACCATTTGTCCACAGCTGCCAGGTAATCTGAAAAACAAGCAAAGCTTACCATAAGCTTGTCTGACCCACAGTCTGCCGCCACATGCAGCCCAGGATGGTTTTGAATGTGGCCCAACACAAAATCGCAAACTTTTTAAAAACATGAATTTTACGTAATTTTATTTTAAGCTCGTCAGCTATCATTAGGTTAGTGCATTTTATGTGTGGCCCAAGACAGTTCTTCTTCCAGTGTAGACCAGGGAAGCCAAAAGGCTGCACACCCCTGGTTTAACACCATCACACACCTTTCAGCACAAAGAGCCACCAGTGCAGCCTTACTACAGCAGGGCTGCAGCAGAGATCGGGAAATACAAGACTGGACAAGTGCCTTCTGAAATAAGTGTCTCATAGACGTTGTCCCATGGCCGGGCGCGGTGGCTCACGCCTGTAATCCCAGCACTTTGGGAGGCCGAGGTGGGTGGATCACCTGAGGTCAGGAGTTTGAGACCAGCCTGGCCAACCTGGTGAAACCCCGTCTCTACCAAAAATACAAAAATTACCTGGGTGTAGTGGTGGGCACCTGTAGTCCCAGCTACTCGGGAGGCTGAGGCAGGAGAATCGCTTAAACCCAGGAGGCAGAGGTTGCAGTGAGCTGAGATCACGCCACTGCACTCCAGCCTGGGTGACAGAGTGAGACTTTGTCTCAAAAAAAAAAAAAAAAAAAAAAAAAAGGTGTCCCGTATGTAGCTGCCTCCTCAGCTGAGCTCCTCATGGGACAAGGACCAGCGTGCCTGTATCCATCTGCTATGGTTTGAATGTTTGTCCTCTTGGAAACTCGTGTTGAAACCGAAGCCCCAGTGTGGTAGCATTGAGAGGTGGGGCCTTGAAGAAGTGTTGGGTCATGTGGGGTCAGCCCTCATGAATAGATTAATCCACTCATGGGTTAATGGATTCATGGGTCATCATAGGAACAGGACTGGTGGCTTTACAAGAAGAGGGAGAGAGGTCTGATCTAGGACACTCAGCCCCCTCACCATGCGATGCCCTGAGCCCCCTGAAGACTCTGGAGTCCCCACCAGCAAGAAGGGCCTCACCAGATGCAGCCCCTCCACCTTGAACTTCTCGGTCTCCATAACTGTAGGAAATAAATGGTTTTCTTTATAAATTACTCAGTTTCAGGTATTCTGTTACAAGCAACAGAAAACAGACTGAGACAATGTCCTTGTCATAGGACACAAAGCCGGGAGCATAGAACGCATCCAAGCAACGTCCGCTGAATGAAGAAAAGACTGAACAGCGTGCCCTCCTCTCAGTCACAGGAAGGCTTCTTTTTGTGTAAAAAATGAAGTTCTAATGAATTATATATTTATACTGTCAAATAGGAATAATAAAAGTACATGCCACGTAAAGTTGGCACAAGGATTAAATGAGTTACTACACGTGAAAACACTAATAATATGCGAAGCGTATGAAACACGAGGGCGCTCCGGTAAAACAAAGAAAGAAAACCATCATTTACATACTGCTCTGTCAAAGTGGACAAGAAATAGAAGGCACTGCAGCTACCAAGCAACCCAGTGACACCACCCCAGAAACTGTCATTTTGTTTCTATTTCTTTTTTTGAGACAAAGTCCCGCTCTGTTGCCCAGGCTACAGGGCAGTGGTGCAGTCAATCATGGCTCACTGCAGCCTCAACCGCCCAGGCTCAAGCAATCCTCTCGCCTCAGCCTCCCGAGTAGCTGTGACTACAGGCACGTGCCAGCACACCTGGCTACTTTTAAAATTTTTTATAGAGATAGGGTCTTGCTAAGTTACCTAGGCTGGTCTCGAGCTCCTGGGCCCAAGTAATCCCTGCACCTTGGCGTCCCAAAGTGATGGGATTACAGGTGTGAGCCACCGTGCCTGGCCTGTCATTTTGATTAGCTAGATGCTACCATTGGCTGTGGAATATGCTAAGTAAATAGGAAGAGAAAGCGTTGAAGTCAGTTGGTCAACCACAAACAGGGCTCAATGGCAATTCAAAGAATTACCAGTTTATCAGTAAGATCTGGTTAAGTAAGTTAAAGCCTAATTTCCTAGAGGTTTAGTTTGGTGCTATGCACTGGATGGTGATAAACACTCAGACTTTCACTAAACTTTCAGAAGTATTTGTGCAGAAGTACCCCAGCCTTCAAAATACCTGCCCCCTTTTTTTTTTTTGAGATGGCATCTCAGTCTGTCCCCAGGCTAGAGTGTAGTGGTGTGATCTTGGCTCACTGCAACCTCTGCTTCCTGGGTTCAAATGATTCTCCTGCCTCAGCCTCCCGAGTAGCTGAGATTACAGGCGCCTGCCACCATGCCTAGCTAATTTTTTGTATTTTAGTAGAAATGGGGTTTCACCATGTTGGCCAGGATGGTCTTGATCTCCTGACCTCGTGATCTACCTGCCTTGGTCTCCCAAAGTGCTGGGATTACAGGCACGAGCCACCGCACTCGGCCAGCATTTTTTTTTTTTGAGACAGAGTCTCACTCTGTCCCCTAGGATAGAGTGCAGTGATGCCATCTCAGCTCACTGCAACCTCTGCCTCCCAGTTTCAAGTGATTGCCTGCCTCAGCCTCCTGAGCAGCTCGGATTACAGGCACCCACCACCACGCACAGCTAAGTTTTTGTATTTTTAGTAGAGACAAGGTTTCGCCATGTTGGCCAGGCTGGTCCCCAAACTCCCGACCTCAGGTGATCCACCCACCGCGGCCTCCCAAAGTGCTGGGATTACAGGCATGAGCCGCCGTGCCCAGCCTGAAGCTTTTTTATAAATCCTCTCGAGACATCTGTAACAACTTACCTGGGTCAGAAGAGCGGAGAAGAATGGACTCTTTCTCCAGCAGCCAGGCAGGTAATCCCCCCTAGGTCAGGGAAAACAAGCAATTATAGTGTCCATTCCATGAAGGGAGATCAGAGGAGAGAGAAATTACTATTAGCAGTTATGGAAAAGAATAAAGGCTTCAAGGGACAAGGGTATTTGAACTGGGCTTTTTGGTTTATAATTTGCAGGGAAATTGGAAATTGGAATACAGTACAATTAAGATCACTCTGCAGGAATGCAATGTTCTGAGGACCAAAGCCCTTATAAAGAATGTTCCTTTTAATTTTACAACTACCCTGTGAGGTCGACAGAGAAGACACCATGCTTCTTTTTTCTTTTTGAGATGGAGTCTCACTCTGTCACCCAGGCTGGAGTGCAGTGGTGCGACCTAGGCTCACTGCAAGCTCCGCCTCCCGGGTTCAAGCAATGCTCCTGCCTCAGCCTCTTGAGTAGCTGGGACTACAGGTGCACGTCACCACGCCCAGCTAATTTTTGTGCTTTTAGTAGAGAAGGGGTTTCACCATGCTGGCCAGGATGGGCTCGATCTCTTGACCTTGTGATCCACCCGCCTTGGCCTCCCAAAGGGCTGGGATTACAGGTGTGAGCCACTGCACCCGGCCTATCAACTGCTTCTTACAGATGAGCAAACTGAGTTATGTGAGTGGCCACCAAGAGGACAGCCCGTGTCCTGACCCTGGCCTGCTTCTCTGTTTCTCTCTACCTGGGCACCTTGCCAAGGTAAAAGTCACCGGTGCTGGGTACAGTCCCAGGCTCTATGCCATCTGGAATGCGGTTTTGCTTTCATTCCCTTTGCCCCAGAGCTGCTGCCTGCCAGCTCCGACACAGCAGGCCGTCAGAACCCAGACCAGCCTCACTCACCATTTCCCACTCTGCACAGATGTAGGGGCCGGGTCTCAGGATAACCAGCAGTCCCAGCTCATGAGCCAGCCGAAGAAAATATTCCACATCATGCTCCTCAGAAAATTGGTACTGTCCTGGGTAGGGCTCATGAAAGTTCCAGGGCACATACCTGCCAAGACACACACAGCCCCTTCTGGGATACTTGGCAGAGACGAGAAGAAGGAAGGGTGGGGAAGGGGCCTCTTGAGGCTAACGCGTGGATAAGAGGGAGAAGGAGCTCTGGAAGAAAAATTATCCAAGGCTGGGCACAGTGGCTCAGGCCTCTAATCCCAGCACTCTGGGAAGCCACGGTGGGCGGATGGCTTGAGCCCAAGAGTTCAACACGAGCCTGGGCAACATGGTGAAACCCTGTCGCTACAAAAAACACAAAAAATTAGCTAGGATGCATGCCTGTGGTCCCAGCTGCTCTGGAGGCTTGAGGTGGAGGTTTGCTTAAGCTGCGGAGGTTGAAGCTGCAGTAAGCTGTGACTGCACCACTGCACTCCAGACTGGATGACAGAGTAAGACCCTGTGTCAAAATAAAGAAAAGAAGAATTATCCAGAATTTGAACATAAGGCAAAAGGGCGACTGCATTTCCTTTCCACGTTATAATGGGGGACGGCCCAATGGGCCCACTGAGGCTCCTTTCATTCTCCAGGGGAAGTATTTCGTTTGACTTAGTATTTACTATTGATTAAGGGAAAAACTTTGAAGTTACAGATTAATTTGTAGATTACTGCCTGGGAGAGAAACAAATGATTATTGTCATACAGAGAAGACAACTCCAAAGGTTACTCTCTCATTCACTGCCCTTTATGATATTAACCAGCTTGATCTCTAAAGATAACTTTATTTGAACACGCCTTTCTTGACTGACTATAAACCTCCCTTCCTCAAATTCTCCTTTGAATTAGCTTTATCATCTGGCTAGTTTTCTCGGTAATGAGTTAAATAAATTTTTAAAAACTTTTATTTTGGGTTCAAAGGGACACCTGCAGGTTTGTTATATAGGTAAATGCATGTCATGGGGGTTTGGGGTACCGATATTTTGTCACTGCCTAGTACATGATATGTATATTCACCTCCTCCCACCTTCCACCCTCAAGTAAGCCCTGTTGTCTGTTGCTCCCTTCTTTGTGTCCATATATACACGATGTTTAGCTCTCACTTGTAAGTGAGAACATGGGGTATTTGGTTTTCTGTCCCTGTGTTAGTTTGCTCAGGATAATGGCCTCTAGCTACATCCAGGTTGCTGCAAAGGACATGAGACATGATCTCATTCTTTTTGATGGCTGTGTAGTATTCCACGGTGTATATGCACTACATTTTCTTTATCCAGTTAAATAAATTTCTGACATATGTCCGTTGTATATTTGTTTGTAAGTCATGTGTTCAGCTTTTTATGATTACATTTTGCATGAATAATTGAACTGAGGTGCTCTGTGGAAGAGGAAAGGACTAAAAAATCCAGATCTCCTACATAAATTTCTAAACTGTCTGTAGAACCATAAACTCATAGGACATATAGACCGTCCTGTTTGGCAGCCTCTTGGGAGCGGCCTTGTTATGAATTTTCACAGCAGCTCCCCAAGCTAATCAAATTTGGTGGGAACACTTTCAAAAAGCAACAACAACAACCGAAAACCCCAGAATTAGATGAACACCAATTCTTATTATTTAAAAATCACAGCCGGGCACAGTAGCTCACTTCTGTAATCCCTGCACTCTGGGAGGCCAAAGCACTAGGATCACTTGAGGCCAGGAGTTGAAAACTACCACGGCAAACACAGTGAGACCTCGTCTCTAAAAAAAAAAAAAAAAAATCAGCTGGTGTGGGAGCAGTGCCTGTAATCCCAACTACTCAGGAGGCTGAGGTGCGAGGATCACTTGAGCCCACTTTAAGATTTTGACTCTAAAAAAATTGTTTTAATAAGTAAAAATAAAAATTATATATGCCTATGTAAGGCTTAGGAAAAATAAGAATATCTTGCTAAAAAGTGGTAAGAGACATACTTCTGAAGAAATCATTTTTAGTAAGTGTAGGAAAAACTCCAACCTCTACATCCACTGACAGAAGGTTTTGTCAGGAATCATGTGGCAGGAGGTAAAATGACGAAACCTTCTACTTGCTCCTCTGTCTACCCACAGACAGCACAGGATACAGAGTCTGACGTAACGGCATCCATTACCATCACAACGCTCTCTTTGAAGGCCCTGGGCTGTGTGATTTTGTGTGTGTGATCCCATGATTTCAGGGTTCCTTGGAACCGTCTTGGTCTTCCAGAAGTCAGTGTTAGAATTATAATTAACAGGTGAACTTGGGTTCACTCTGCTGGTGGCCTTTGAACCAGAATAATGAGTGAGTTCTCCCTCACTATCTATCTTAGGAATCTGCCTCTGGGTTTTCTCACTGCTTATCTGTGAAAAGTTATCAGCAATCCACATCAGCACTGCATCAGAGCAGCCAGCCATACCAACTTTCTTCCCAGTTAGTTACTTTACAACAGCAGAAGAGATGCAGAGAGATAGCTATTGGGGCAATTCTATACCCTGAAGTTATATAATTACCCCAACAAAGAAAACTGAATTTCAGAAATCTACCTAAGGACAAGGCTTATGCTGTTATTGGGGCTCGGAGGCACCTTGGCATGCTGAGTACTTTGAACTAAAGGAGACTGGAAGGCCTTAGGAGCAAATATCATTTCTCTGACCTTCTCCTGCTCTTCTGTCTCCCACCCCTCCTCCTCCCCTGAAGCAAGTCTAACCAGAGTTCCTCTTCCCCAATATGGGTCATAGAAATTAGAAGCCCTCTCCCTCAAGGCAAGCCATAAAACCTAGAAAGGTCACCTCTCCCTTCTCCCTCCTTGACCCTCATTGCAGAAGGGTTCTGCTCCATCCCCAGAAGGAAGGAATGCCACCCAGAGAGGTCGAGAAGAATCTGAAGAGGCAGGCCTTGTGGGTTCCCACTTCAGTCCACTACTCCTAAGTTACAACCTTTCATGGAATCTAAGTGTAAAAAGTTTTCCTTGGGTCTTCTGTTCTGAAGATTCCTACGTCAGGTAAAACTCTGATTCAGGCTGGGTACGGTGGCTCACACAAGCAATCCCAGCACTTTGGGAGGCTGAGGCAGGTGGATCACGAGGTCAGGTGATCGGGACCATCCTTGCTCACATGGTGAAACCCCGTCTCTACTAAAAATACAAAATAGTTAGTCTGGCATGGTGGCAGGCCCCTGTGGTCCCAGCTACTCAGGAGGTTGAGGCAGGAGAATCACTTGAACCCAGGAGGCGGAAATTGCAGTGAGCCGAGATTGCGCAGCTGCACTCCAGCCTGGGCAACAGAGCGAGACTCCATCTCAAAAACAAACAACAAAAAACCACAAAACTTTGATGCGATAGATCTGCTATGCTTTTCTCCTGTGAACCTATCTTTTTCTATGACTACAGCCGTCCCTTATGCTACAGCTGCCTGCACACCTTCCCTTCCCTTCAAATACCAGCTGCACCTCTGACCGAAGACAGGGCCTGGGGCAAATTTCAGTTTCATCGGCTATAAATGGGAACAATGACAACTCTCTCAAAGAAATGGAATCACTAGTGTAAAGGGCCCTATATCTGGCAAGTGCTCAATCACTGTTACTTCTGTTTGCTTCCCCCATCCTTTGCCTTTGTAAGCGGTTTATTTAATGATTTCTGACAATAAAAGACTGGAAGAGTAGTTAATGATCTGAAGAACGGCCACTCCAGCTCAAGACAATCCCCTCCCACAACATCGCACTGGACTATTCCCCATTTCTGAGCAATAAAATAGCCACCCTGAGGAATACGGTTGTATCCTCTCTCCAGAGTGGGTGTTCAGGCCCAGGTGAGAGCCACGTGCCCTCCTGCTTACGTCTGGATGGTGTTCAGACCGGCCATCTTCATCTTCAGCAGCCGGTCCTTCCAGTAGAAGCGGGGCACGCGGGAGTAGTGAATGCTTCCTGAGACGTAGCGAAACGGCTGGCCGTCCTTGAGGAAGCGGTCCTGGCTATAGTCCACCTCAAATATCCTCTGGCTGGCATTCTACAGAGCAAGGATGGGGTCACATGAGAACTTCCACCTCCTGCATTTTCGAAGCAGATCCTTTGACAGTGGCAAGTGACTCTCTGCCTCTTTCATTTGTATAACGCGCTGATGGAATTAATGCTTATTTACTGAGCTATCATACAAACCACTGCTAAGTCAGGCCCACCAGGGGTACTCAGGTAAGAGGAATCATCGAAGAGGACCCACATGCAGGATTCCATAAGGCTTGGCTTCTCGAGGCCAGGACTGAGCCTATGATCAGTGGCCGAGATGATATTCCACCGGGCTGTTCATAGGGCTCAGAAACATCACACATACACCCTTGTGACTGTGACCTGCCTGAATACTGGATGCACCACAATAGTAATGTCACTGGGATAACCAAAACCCATTCAGAAAATCCTAAGTGTAACATACAGGGCAAAAAGCGATGGATTAAAACTCCAGCGCCCCAATGCCCCATCCTGGGTGTTGCTCTGAATCCTAGAGTGACCTGGGCAAGTCCCGTCTCTAACCCTACCACTCTTCAGCCATAACTATCCAGGGTATTGGACTAAAGGAATTTTAAGGCAATATTTTTCCAATTGTGGACTGTAACCTGATTTATGAGTAATAAACTCATTTTTGGTGGCAATAAGCACCTTGTAAAAATGAAAGAACTGTCTGGGCATGATGGTTCATGCCTGTAATCTTGGCACTTTGGGAGGCCGAGGCAGGTGATCACCTGAGGTCAGGCATTCAAGATCAGCCTGGCCAAGATGGTGAAACCTCGTATCTATCAAAAAATACAAAAATTAGCCGGGCATGGTGGTGCATGCCTTTGTAATCCCAGCTATGCAGGAGGCTAAGGCACGAGAATCCCCTGCACCTGGGAAGCGGAGCTTGCAGTGAGCTGAGATCATGCCACTGCACTCCAGCCTGGGCGACAGAGCAAGGCTCTGTCTCAAATAAATAAATAAATAATAAAAATGAAAGAATGGTAGGCACAGTTGCTTATGACTGTAATCCTAGCACTTTGGGGGGCCAAGACTGGAGGATCGCTTGAGCTAAGGAGTTCAAGACCAGCCTAGGCAACACAGCAAGGCCTCATCTCCACACACACACACACAAATCAGGCATGGTGGCACACGCCTATGGTCCCAGCTACTCGGGAGGCTGAGGTGGGAGGATTGTTTGGGCCCAGGAGGTTGAGACTGCAATGAACCACGTTGATGCCACTGCACTGCAGCCTGGGCGACACAGCAAGATACTGTCTCAAAAAAACAAACAAACAAAAAAGGCAAGAAAGAAAATAGAGTATATTACACATAGTAAAGTATTACTTTATAAACATTTTGTTATATATACATGTGTAGAACTGTATATGTATGCATGTATATTTGGTTGCAATGTAAGATTTATTTCTATCAAGCAAAAATTTAAGAAACACTGTTTTGGGGTCACTTCAGGAGCTAAAATGCTAAGATTTTGAAAGGAAAGACTTCAATGGGTGGTGGGGGTGGGGGTTCAGCTGTTAAGCCGAGAGGAACACTGCCCTCTGGTGGACAAGGCAGCAACAGGCCACAGGTGCCAAAAGAACCAGGGTTTTAAGAAACCATCTGATTAGTGCTGTTATGGGTCAGATTCCTTGTGCATCTTTAGGCTTTCAAAGGTCACAATCTAGCTTTAGTCACAGTAGCATCATAATCCATGGTGGCTTTGAAGCTATATTTGGAAGCAATTGTGGCAACATGAGTCCTATAACACATGCCTGAAGTCCAACTGGGGAGTTGAAGTTAAACAGCTCAGAGAAACATTCATAGAGGCAAATGGAGAGCTTTACTGTATGTGAATTACAGCTCAATAAAGCTAAATAAACACAAATAACTAAGAATCATTTTTGAAAAAGGGCAAATATCAATTTAACATCACACCTTCTAGTAAATAAGGCTTTAACTTCCGTTCAAAGCAAAAGTCTCCTAAACTCACAAAAATATAAAAATTATTATTATTTTTACAGAGTCTTGCTCTGTCGCCCAGGCTGGAGTGCAATGGTATGATCTCGGCTCACTGCAACCTCCGCCTCCCAGGTTCAAGCGATTCTCCTGCCTCAGCCTCCCAAGTAGCTGGGATTAGAGGCACCCACCACCATGCCCAGCTAAATTTTTGTTTTAAGAGAGGCGGGGTTTCACCGTGTTGGCCAGGCTGGTCTCAAACTTCTGACCTCAGGTGATCCACCCACCTTAGCCTCCCAAAGTGCTGGGATTACAGGTGTGAGCCACCACGCCCAGCCTAAAAATGATTTCTTACAGCGGGTGCCTCCATGGATGCTCTTGAAAACATTCTCATAGTATGTACATGACTAAGTGTCAAATAAGGGCTCTTCACAAGTTTCCTAAGTTCAAAGGTGGCCCATGAGGTGGGAACATTCATTAGACAGGTAGGAAGCCAAGCAACGTCTGGCAGAGTTGGAAAAAGGGTAAAGCTGTTTGAAATCCGCTTGTCTAAGTCAGAGTTCAGAGGAGCAGGAGATAAGGCCGGAAAGAAATGATGGTGGCAGACAAGGGAATCTGGCCTTTGTCCCACACACGTCCCCTATCCTCCAATGACCTCAAAGTCCAGTCTAAATATCTCCCCTCCATCCATCCACAAATATAATATTACCAAGCGCCTATTATGTGCTGAGTAATCACAGACAAGAACCACACAGATGTGGCCACAACCCATATGAAGCTTCCCTCTAACCTGGAAGAAACCCAAGGGTTAATACAGGGAGGTCGAGGCAGTCAAGTGAGGGTTAGAGCAGAATGCTGCAACAGAAGTACATGGAATGGAACCCAGGCATGGTAGAGTTGCGGGGAGGGGCAAGGGCAAGTTTCTCAAAGGAAGAAACACCCCAAACTGTGTTTCTCCATTTTGGCTGCCCAGTAAAATCACCTGTGCAAGCTTTTAAAAATAGTAAAGCTGGCCAGGCGCGGTGGCTCACGCCTGTAATCCCAGCACTTTGGGAGGCTGAGACAGGCAGATCATGAGGTCAAGAGATCGAGATCATCCTGGCCAACATGGTGAAACCCCATCGCTACTAAAAATACAAAAATTATCTGGGAGTGGTGGCATGCGCCTGTAGTCCCAGCTACTCGGGAGGCAGAGGTGGCAGTGAGCCAAGACCCGGCCACTGTACTCCAGCCTGGCAACAGAGCAAGACTCCATCTCAAAAGAAAAAAAGAAAAAAAAAAAGCAAAGTTGAGCCTCAACCCCAGACATTCAGGGGTTTAATTGGTCTTGGGAGGAACCCCGACATCGGAATTTCTTAAATCTGCCCACATGATGTAATGCGGAGCCAAGGTTGAAGAGAAGTTAGCCATGGGGGGAAGTGACACAAAGAAAGAAAACTGTGTGCGGGAGGACTGGGAGAAGGAGGCCAAGACTACAGGCCAGGAGCCACGGAGCCTCAGTACAGATTAAACACGGCACTTGCGGAGGCAGAGGAGGAGGCCAGAGCCAGAGCGAATGAGCCCTGAAGTCCAGGTTCAAGGGCATGGACTTTATGCTGAGAGCAGTGGAGGACAACTGAAAGGAAAGACCAATCGGACCAGACACGTGTTTCCAGATGCTTGGCTTTTTCCTGAATGGGCAAAAAAGGCAGAAGAGATGTGTCTGTGGCCCATGGTGGTGACAATGATGTGGGCAGGCGGCAGGAGGAGGAAATTCCAGGACGGTGGCCAGTTAGATTGTCAGACACAGGCGCGAACCTGAAGAGCCTCCCACTGTACTTGGGGAGAAATTCGAGTGTCAAACTGAGAGAGAGGAGAGTGAGCATTGAGTGAGAGACTTAAGAGATATAACAATCAAAAAAATACGACTACGTTTATATTAACACCTATCCATTCACTGTAATATACAGGGGAGAAAATTCATTGGTCACCTTTGGAGATTGCTAGAGTACCAGCTCATTACTCTTGAAAAGTGATAAATACAGAGAAAGAGCCCTCACATAAAAAATGCATTTCAGGGTTACCAAAACACTGACGATGGAAAATCCTCCACTGGATCCCAGTTAATTAAATACAGAAGGGCCCAGGCACGATGGCTCATGCCTGTAATCCCAGCAATTTGGGAGGCCAACACAGGAGAACTGCTCGAGTCTAGGAGTTCAAGACCAGCCTGGGCAACATGGCGAGACACTGTCTCTACAAAAAAATGAACAAAATGAGTGTCTCCCTCATCCATCGTGCTGCCTCCTTCTCTCACACCCGGCGCTGTTTGTGTGCTCATTCAGTGCAGATGTGGTACTTCTTTTGTGAAGCGGCAGCTGAGACTCCATCACTTGCCATGGTGGACAAAAAGCCCAAGGAAGGAATCAAGACTGAGAATCATGATTATATTACTTTGAAGGTGTCGGGGCAGGAGGGTTCTGTGGTGCAGCAGTTTAAGATTAAGAGGCAAACATCACTTAGTAAACTAACGAAAGCCTACTGTGAACGATAGGGATGGTCAATGAGACAGATCAGATTCCCATTTGACAGGCAACCAACCAATGAAAGAGACACGCCTGCTCCACTGGGCATGGAGGATGAAGATACATCGATGTGTTCCAACAGCAGACAGGCGGAGTCTGCTGAAAAGGGAACCTGCTTCTCCACTCCAGGACTCTGTTCTTTACAGACCAAGATTACAGTCTCAACGAGAACACTGCAATTTGGTTCCACCACATGCTGACTACTGCAGTATAGTTTATTCTTCCGTTCTCTGCTTCCCTATTCCTTTATTGTACATAAAGTAGTAACTTGTATATGTGCGCAAGTATATTGCCTTTTTTTCTTTTTAACTAAACAGCCAATGGTATGTTTTGATTGACATCAAGTGGAGGTGGGATGGGGAAGAATACTGATTCTGTGAAAAGACCCCCTTTTCTTCATTAGTGGCATGCTCATTCAGCTCTTTATATTTTGGTAAATAATTCTGCTGTTTTAACAACAACAACAAAAACACGAAAATCCTTGCATACCTTGTTCAAT